TTTTGTGTTATAGGTCTATTCAGGTGATTAATTTCCTCTTGGTTCAGTTTTGGATGATCATATGTATCTAGAAATCTGTCCATTTTTAAGATTTTCAAATTTATTGAATATAGGTTCTCAAAGTAGTCTCTGATGATTTCCTGGACTTCCATGGTGTTTGTTGTTATCTCCCTTTTGATTCCTGATTCTACTAATTTGGTTTTTTCTCTCCTCATTTTAGTCAGGTTTGCCAGGGGTCTTTGATCTTGTTATTTTTTCAAGAACCAACTTTTTGTTTCATTAATTCTTTGTATGGTTTTTTGGTTATTCTTTCGTTGATTTCAGCTCTTATTTATTATTTCTCCCTTCTATTTGTTTTGGGATTTGCTTGTTCTTGTTTTTCTAGGAGTTGAGATATATCATTAGGTCATGATTTGGGATCTTCATCTTTTAATATATTGCACTCATGGCTATAAACTTTCCTCTCAGGACTGCTTAGCTGTTGTCCCATAGGTTCTGGTAGGTTGTGTTTTCATTTTCATTGACTTCAGGAACTTTTAATTTCCTTTTTATTCATAGATGATCTGTCGTTTCATTAAGTAATGAGTTATTTAGTTTCCAGCTGTTTGCATGTTTTTTTTGTCTATACTTTTGTTGTTGAGTTCTACTATTTACTGCATATTGTTGATCACGATATATGACGGTATTTATTTCTATTTTTTATATTGCTGAGGCTTGCTTTGATGCCCTGGATATGATCTATTTTTGGAGAGAGGTTCCATGGGCTGGCGTGAGAAGAATGTATATTGTGTAGAGGTTGGATGAAATGTTTGTATGACATCACGAGATCCATTTGATCTATTGCATATTTTAGATCTTGGATTTCTTTATTGAGTTTGTTTGGATGACCTATCTATTGATGATAATTGGGTAGTTAAAGGCTCCCACAACACTGTTGTTGGCGTTTATTTATGCTTTTAGGTCTTTCAGGTATGTTTTGATGAAAATTGCTTGCGTTGACATTGGGTGCATACAGACTTGATGATTATTATTTCCCTCCTGCTGTTTTCGGGGGCCATTGGCTTAGAAAATCTTCTTCCAGCTTTTCATCCTAAGCATATGCTTATTTCTGTCTGTGAGATGAGTCTCCTGTAAGCAACAAATTGTTGGATCTTCTTTTTTAATCCATTTCGTTTTGTTAGTTCTTTTTTAATCCATTAGTTGTCTTAGTTGTTTGAAGGTTTGATTGTGTGTACCTAAGTTGAGGTTACTCTCTACTGTCTTGCTTTTTCTTTTCCTGTGGTTTGGTGCTGACTGTCTTTTCATGGTTAAGTTGGATGTCACTTTCTGTGTGTAGAATCCCTTGCAGAATCTTTTGTAATGGTGGCTTTGTGGTCACATATTGTTTTAGTTTCTGCTTATCATGGAAAACTTTTATTGCTCCATCTATTTTGAATGATAATTTTGCTGAGTAGAGTATCCTGAGGTTGAAGTTATTTTCATTCAGTGCCCGGAAGATCTCACCCCGTGCTCTTCTTGCTTTTAATGTTTCTGTTGAGAAGTCTGCTGTGATTTTGATGGGTTTACCTTTGTATGTTACTTGTTTTTTCTCTCTTACAGCCTTCAATATTCTTTCCTTAGTTTCTGAACTTGTTGTTTTAATGATGATTGTCGTGGGTAGTTCTATTTTGATCTGGTCTGTTTGGTGTCCTGGAGGCCTCTTGCATCTGTATGGGAATATCTTTCTCTAGATTTGGGAAATTTTCCGTTATTATTTTGTTGAATATATTATGCATTCCCTTCGCTTGCACCTCTTCTCCTTCTTTGATGCCCATGATTCTCAAGTTTGGTCTTTTGATGGAGTCAGTGAGTTCTTGCATTTTCTTTTCACAGGTCTTGAGTTGTTTAATTAATAGTTCTTCAGTTTTTCCTTTAATTACCATTTCATCTTCAAGTTCTGAGATTCTGTCTTCTGTTTGTTCTATTCTGCTGGATTGGCCTTCCGTTTTTTTTGCAGTTCTGTTTTTTCTTTTTCTGAGGTTTTCCATATCCTGGCTGTTTTCCTCTTTAATGTTGTCTATTTTTGTCCTGAGTTCATTTATCCGTTTATTCATTGTGTTCTCTGTTTCACTTTGGTGTTTATACAGTGCTTCTATGGTTTCCTTTATTTCTTCTTTTGCTTTTTCAAATTCTCTATTTTTGTTGTCTTGGAATTTCTTGAGTGTCTCCTGTACATTTTGGTTGACCCTATCCAGTATCATCTCTATAAAATTCTCATTGAGTACGGTAGTATGTCTTCTTTTAAATTATTCTTGTGTGCTTCATTGGTTCCTTTGGCATTGTTTATCTTCATTTTGTTGGAGTCTGGATCTGAGTTTGTTTTCTTCATTCCCCTCTGGTTCCTGTACTAATTTTTTGCTGTGGGGAAACTGGTTTCCCTGTTTTTTCTGTCTTCCCGTCATTGTCTTTGGTGTTGTTACTGTCCCTGTACTGTGTGCAATTAAGTATTTTCTAGCTTGTAATAATAACAATGGTAATATTTAGAATGGAAGGGTGAGCTGAGATGGAAAGCAAGAAGTTAAAGAAAAGGGAAAACAAATACACAGACAAGAGGAGAAAGCAGAACAAGGTATCAGACAAGAAAGTTTCAAAGGTATAAACAGGGAGGTTAGTGTACTAATCGACAGTAAGCTGAACAGACATTAGAGAGACAGAGAGAGGATTGAAAATAAAGATAAAAATAAAAAAATAAGTAAATGAAAGAAATATCTATATATAAAAATGAATTAAAATAAAATGAAAATAGAAAATTAAAAAAAAAAAAACAAAAACTCCAAGTTCAATGCAATGAAGTTTCAGTCTTAATAATTTGGTGTCTGTCTCAGTCTCCAATCCTGGATGGTGCCTCAGATGTTGTTCTGTAGTTGTCTCATCAAAGGGGATGCATAAAGTAGAACAAAACTACACACACAACACACACACACACACACACACAAAACCCCACCAAGTGTCCCAAGTTCAAATGCAATACAGTTTCAGTAAGTTTTTCGCTTGCAGGTGTAATTCGGTTGTTCTCTCATCAAAGGTAGGGAGAAAAAGAAAAAAAAGAGTCTGGAGACAGTTCTGAGAGTGGTATCTGCAACTGTGGCTTGCCTGCCTGCTGTCAGCCTGCTGTAGCTGGGGCGTTATTTATGCAGATCTCTGGGGTGAGCTTAGCACTCACCTGGCCCACAGGCTTTGTTTGTTCAGAGTTCTCCTGTGCGGGAGCCTCTGCTACAAGCTTTCCCCTTTCCAAGCACTGGGAAAGGTGACACTGCACCGCTTGTCAGGCCTGCGTGTTTATTTACAGTTCATGTGGGAGGTGGCTTCCCCCTCTCCTGTGAGTTTTCCTCCCACTGCCACTTTCACAAGCTTTCCTGCTCCTGATTACTGGGGTGCTGCTGCTCCTGCCAGCGCCATGTTTTGTTTACAGTTCATGGAAGTGGGTCTTCCCCCTCCTCTCGTGGAGTTTTCCTCCCTCTGCCACTCTCAAGCTTTCCCCCTCCTGGTTGCTGGGTGCGTGCCCTGCTCCGCCAGAGCCTCCCGGCCACCCTGGCTTGTTTATTTACAGTCCGGGAAGGATTCCCTTCCCCCAATCTTCAGCTCAGGGGCCCCACCTCTTTCCAGCGTGTCTTATTGTTCTTATTGCTTATTACTCAGTTTCTCTTTTTTCCCCTGGTGGAGGTCAGTCTGTCCAGGGGGCTATGCTGCTCTGGCCCAGGCTTGTCTGTGGGAGTACTGCGTACCGTGAAGCTCACCTGGTCTGCGTCTTCCCAAGTGGGCCAGGCACTGGCGGCCCGGGCCCTCCTTGTTTCTCCCGTTTAACGTGAAGTGGAGATTCTCTGGCAGGCTGGAGGTGTGGAGGGGTCAAAGTTATGCCTTTTCTCAGTGATTATGCCTGCAAAGTGTGTCTCCAGGCGTCTCTCCAAGATTTCACTATAGGAGGCTCGCTTTCTCTTCCTCCACCCTCCTCTAGCTGGCCATCTTGGAAATCCCGGCCTTTAACTCCTTTGTGATCTGATAAAATACAAGGACTATTTAAACTTTCTTCTGTTTGCTAAGACCTGGTATAGTCCTAAAATAATATATATTTTGGGAATGTCTCCTGGGCTACTGAGAAGAATGTGTGTTCTGCAGCTATTGTGTGCAATGGTCTATGGATGTCTTTCTCTGCTTCCTGCCTCTTAAGGTTAGGGGTTTTCCCAGCCATGCACTCCTATTATGATGTACTACCCTTTCCAGAGGTCCAAAACAATGTGACCAACTGATCTGGAGTGAGAACCTTTCAAACAGTGTCTTCCTTTTATAATTTATTTGACTCAGCATTTCATTATGGTAACACAATGCTAGTACACTATCCTACAAAATCTGGGAGGTGAAGACTGGGGATGTGGCTCAAACAATAGAGCATCTGTTTTGCAGATGCAAAGCCCTGAGTTCAAACACTAGTCCCACCAAAAAGTAGAAGGTGAAAATAAAATCAGATTGCTGCTTAGCTTAGTGTTGGGATGACAATAAGGAACTTGGTATTTAATCCTGACACTAAGGAGTCTGGGAAGGAGAATTGAGGATTTCAGGCCAGCCTGAGCTAGATTCATAACAAGACCATGCCCTTCATGTTTATTATATTATTAATATATTAAATATATTAAATTCATTCAATAGATCCTAGTTTAATAGCATTTATTTAATTTGAAATTACATCCAAATGACATATGTGAGATTATAGACCCAAATGGTTCTATGCATACATTGAGAGACAGACACTTTATTTTATTTTATGCAAGGGAATAAACCCCTTAATCCACTCAAGTTGATGTTTATGTGCTTTTATTCTCATTAATGCTTGAAAAATCTGCGATTTAAAAAATAATTTACTGCTTATTCAAATTCACAGTAGCCAAATTGCAGGTGCTTAAGAGCAACAGGTTTTGCCTGTGGAAATTGTTATAAACAACTTCCTTGTTGCAGGAGGAATTGAGTTATGTCAGATTAACCTGAGAAAAAGTAAATTCCATCTCTGATAAAGAAGAAATAAATTTGGAAGTAAGTTTCTTATGGTGCATCAAAACATATGGAAAGATGGTTGGATAGACCGATGATAAAATTCTACTATATCTGTCAAATCTGTTCTAGAGTTTTCTCAGGTTCATAAAACTATGAAGGATAGTGAAATTGTTTGAATGGTAACATCTCACAAAGCCATTTACCAGGAAAAGTATGTGTGGATGGCTCCATTTTCTGTAGGTAGCTAGGAAGAGAGTCTGGGCTGTGGACATGCTGGATTCCTTTGAGGTATCCATAGAGGAGATGCACCATGAAGAGGCTGTTACATACAATGAATACCACAAACAGCAGATTTTGAATCAATCTCACATTTAAAAATAACACTGTAGTGTGATATTGAACCTGAATATTTTGACAGTATTCTTGGGAAAATCCAGGAACTCAAGCTCCCCCTGAGGAACAATGTTCCAAAAATTACTCCTTTGGGGTTATTGAAGGGGAGTGGTCCATCTTTGGTAGTGCTTTGAGCTTGACAAGGGGCTGTGGACCCTACCCTAGCGGAATACTTGCCCAGTTTGGAGGCCAGCTAGGTTACAGGATAGCCTCTGTTGGCCCCCAGCTAGGTTCTCCCTCTCTTGGGCCAAGGTCCTCCCTAAGCCCCATGGGTGAAAAGGAACCAGGTGATGATGTAATGTTTCCCACCTCCAAGTTCAAGGTGGTATAAAAACAAACTACCCATAGACCCCAACCTTTCTTCTTCCCTTCTCTCAACTAGCAGAACAGATGACTCCCTTTTCCTCAATCAAGCTTGTTCTACTTCCCCCCCATTCACATGTTTCTGTTTGGATTTTTCATTTGAGCACAAGAATCAAGATCTTCTGTGAATAATGTTTTGCTGATAATATTGGTTGTAAGCCAGGCAAGGAGCACCAAGGGGTGAGGTGACCCAATAAGCTATCTCTGCTCATCCTTTTCATTTCATCCATCTTTCTCTGTCCCTCTGGTCCATGCCTTGCCACCTGATGTTTCAGAACCAAAACACCCTTGTGGCTTGGTGGTAATGGACAATCTCATTGGTATGTTCTTTCAAAGCTCGGGACTTGTTTGGAACGCCCTTGGCACAGACAGAACTGACCCTGATTGGCTGGATTGAAACATTTTGCCCACAGGAACATGAGCTCCTGTGAAACATCCAAAGGCAACAGGGTTCTGCCCTGGGGAAATGGACCACATTAAAAACTAGCTGACCCTTCTATAAAACATACCTCATCTAAGTGTTTAATCCCTCCCCCATTCCTTCTTCACTGCAATGTGGGACTATCATACTCCAAGGTTCCTCTAACTCCCATGTGGCAAGGGACAATAAAAAATGCTTCCTGCTATAGGGCCTGGGTTTTCTCTGCCCACCCTACTTGCTTTTCTTTCTCCTCTTCTCTTCTCCCCCTACTCAGAGTTTTAAATCAACACAATGGGAGGCATGCTTTGGCTCAGCCCGTCCCAGCCACAGGCCTTTGTTTTTTAAAAAAGAAAAAAGACTGTTTCCAGAGGGGCCCCTGATTGACCACCTGCCCTGGGAAAGCATGGGCTGCTCACGAGAAATGTGGGGTGGTGTTATGCAAACAGGGAGCAAATTGGTCCCTGCTTTTCTGTTGGGTTTGGGAGACTTGCCCATGTCCCTTGCAAACATCCCAGGGACAGAGAACTGCAGCTGTTAAGGGAAACACACTGAATGGTTTAGTGAAAAGAGCCTTAACTTCCCATCGGCAGTGCAGCATCACCAAAGGTCATCCACACTTGGGTTCCTGGCAAATGCAACCCGTTCCTGCATGCCACTGGGGGCAACCATGAATGGGGCTTGACTTCCTGCCTCATGGCATAGAATCCTTCTGGAACTCCCACTGTCATAAGTGGAGGGACCCTGGTGTCCTGCTCCATGTTCTGCTGCCTGGTGCAGTCCTCTCCTCTGGCCAAGTGTGCACAGGCCCCCTGGTCCACTTCTCAAAGCAATAGGTTGGAAGACTCATCTACTCACCATGAGGCATGATGTCCACTGGTAAAAGTGTAGCAACTGTGACCAAAAGAGGCGCTGTGGTGGTGGCATATGTGTTTTACAATAGTTACAGCTGGAGCTGCAGGCACACAAAGGGGCTACAGCACCTCTGTGGCAACAAATGTGCACTCATGGCCCACTGCACGGCCAGCAGCCCTGTCAGTAACTTTTCCAGCCTGAAAGGCTACCTGTGGCTGAAGGTGGCTGAGAGAGGGAAATGCAAAGGCACAGAAGGGAAGCTTGGGGCATCGGGACAAGTTTGGTGAGGGCCATTGCAGCACACTGGGACCACATGTGCTCTCCCAGCTTGCCCTTGAACAGGGCGCGCGGAGGCCCCATGGCAACAGTGGTGACAAGAGACTGCTCCATGCCCCAGACTTGGGTCCACACCCCTCTTGTGTGGGACAAAAAATTTTACAAAAAAAAGGAGGGGAGGGGCCACCTCAAGGTAATCAAGGTCCTATGCCTAACCAAACTGCCTTCTTCAGATCTTTAACTTTCTCTGTCTTCCTCCTCTGGATGCACTTCCTTGCCTGCCTCCCCTGACATGCCCATCTGCCCTTAGACTCCCTTCCATTCTTTGCCCATGTCTTTCCCACTCACTAAAGGTCAAACCTCTTTTGAGTTCAGAGGCATATTGCCAGGGACTACTGACAAGGTTGGCACTTTTTACAATTGGGGATTAAATGAGATTAAATTTCTAAGGTTCTAGAGAAGGTCCCTATGTCCACTTCCCTTTTTTTTTTTCTTTTAAGGGAAACTAAATAGAGGCTGCATTGGAAACTCTAAGCAATGGGATCGTTGCCTAACTAAGTAGGGCCATGGGGTTCAAATCTTCCTTAGTGCCATTTCTATTATTTGGTGTACTTCCCTTCTTATCTTCATTTTCCTACTCACTAGGTAAAAATTGGATTAGCATTCAAGCGGAAACCCTCATAATATGGATGGAGAGACTGACCTTAGGAGAAAGTTGATTCACAAGACAGGATACCCTTGGCACACACTCGCTCCAGGGTATACAATGGGAAAAGGTCAGAAGGACCTTTTGATTTTGGCATAGATTATGGGAGACATTCCACAGATTCTTAGAAATTCTTCTCTCTAAAGGGTAAATTCCTCCTTTCCCATTTCCCTTTTCTCTCTACAGGCTGACAATGGGGTTAAGCCAATAAGATTCCAGATTCCCCACTTGCTTGTATCAAAAATACTGGGAATGCTTTTGGTCCCTCAGGCTAACACTAATAATAGAACATTTTGATTCATTACTGTAATGAGGTTTGACCGCTCTATATTTAGCTTGTGGTCTAAAAGGTGGTTTGGAAAACATGGGAAGTCTTGAGTTGACACTATACTTAACAGTTAGATGGGTGTTGTATAAAATAGAAGACAATGATCAGAGATACTGTACATGCAAATCTTCATGGTCTATATCAAAACTCAAAACCTCTGTAAGGAGTTTACCAAACCCTCTTAAGGAAAGAGACAATAGATATCCTGGACGGTTCTCTGTACAGAAGAATACACATGCTCAAAGTGAAACTCCCCATTACCTCTCTTTTTGAACGTGCCTGATACCAGAACCAACATCACATCCCACCATAATCTTCTCCTCAAGTCCTCCTCTGTCGGCACCCCCATGGAAAAATAAGTCCTGCCACATACTTAAAATGGAAATCTTACTCCAAGAGACTCCTCAAACAGGCTCCAAGTAATGAGAAGTGTCAGGGTCCCCCAGGTATCAATTTGGTGTTCAATAGGTGCTCTTCACAGTAATGATATACGACAGTGTAGGAAAAAAATTGGGGAAGGTTAATACTGAGGATGCAGATAAATTTTACAATTGAATTTCAGACCTTGGGCATTAGGCTTTGATCTCTCTTGGAGGAACATATCAGTTCCTTCTGGCTGACTGGTTTGCCACTTCTACAGAAATGGAAAATTTTGTTTGGCTGTGGTTGTCATGGGGATGTCAATGAGGCCTTTGCTAGGGATCATAAGCTGAACATCAAGGGGCTGTCCACTGTCACCAACATCTGAGCCCTCACTGGGATTATACACGCCCAGGAGGAATGCAAAAAAAAAGGGCCCAAATCTTGTAGGTCATCCTTTGTAGAAATGAAACCTGGAGCCATAAAATCTGTAAATTATAGCAAGGGTCCAAGAATTCATCCACAAGCAAAAGGAGAAATATTACAGCCTTTTATGCATAGACTAGGGGAAGATTTAGAAAACATTCTTGAATACTGAAGTCTAATTGAAGGGGCTGCCCTGCTAAAATTCATTGTTTGTCAATCAATAGCTTCAGATATTAGACAAAATCTTCAGAAGCATAAATCTGGGACCCCCTAACCAACAGAATTCCAGTTTGGTACACATTGCCTTTTTCACGGTCTATAACACCTTGACCTGAAAGAGGAAAAGAAAAAGAACAGAGTAATAAGAAGGCAAGCCAAACTCAAGGTTGCTGTAAATGGGGATGACCCCAATGCCAACAAGACATCCTCAGAAAAAAAGTCCAAGAAAGCTATTGTGGCTATCAAATGGCAAGAAGCTTGTCACATGTCCAAGGAATTGCCCTAGAGCCACCGCTGGGACCTGTATGAATTCTCTAAAACAGGGGAACATACCAATGGCACTGGAGGATGGATTGTCCCTACTCCCAAAAAAGGGGCCATGATTGTAGTAGTAGCTGTGAAAAAAAAAATAATAAAATTCATTCTTCCCCTCCCTTGCCATATTGAAACTCAGTATTTTAAGCATAGATTTCTTATAGTCCCTAGTTGCCCTACCCCACTCTTGAGTCAGGAAAAAGTTGGCTGTGATCTTGCTAATGGGCCATTTACGCAGAATCCTTAATGCTGCCGAAGATTGGCAAAAATGATCCATAAAATTCTTTGTAGAGGTGGGCCAACAAGTAAGACCTCTACTTGGTACAATGGCGATACTCGGAGGACAAAAACAACCATCCCTGTTAAGATGCAACTGTCCCAGTTGTAG